CCATATTTCAAGTGAGGAAGTGTTGCAAAGAGGAGGTACCAGAAGAGTCTCTGGTGGTTGACACAATCCTTGGAGCATGCTCACAACACCGCTTTTGGAAGGCTTCCCTTCCTTAAAAAAATTCTCCTAACCCCTCAATGAGAGTGCTTAAAGGGTCTTTTGTTTTAAATCAATCCTTTCTCCACGCAGATACTCTCCATGAGGCAGCATAAGATTTGAACACTCAGCGATTCTCTCTCCATGTTCAACAACTTCCTTCGCTCTTTTGCCCAAACCCTCTGTGTTTTAGGCACACCAAGATTTCTTTGAGAGTTAACCCAAGCCTGCCTCCACCTGTGGCTGGAAGCAGAGCTGATCTCACCCCAAAGGAACTCTGTGCTTTGCACAGGCTCAGGGGCTCTCTATGCACACTTCTGTGCTCAAAAAGCGATGATAACTTCCTCACAGAGCATCCCCCTTTTTCTTAGCTCTATGGACCTTCCGTGGTTGCAGAGACAAGAGTGTCCACCTGACATTTCCTGAGTCATACTGGCCAAACCAAACCCAGGGAAGAACTGAAGGTGTTGTCTCACATCACTGGCTGCGTATAGCAAGCAAGGCAGGCCCCCCTTTTTCTGATTTTGTTTTCCATTTCCAAAGGTTCAGCAGCTGCATTCCTCTCTCCATTTCTTTCATTCTCTCTCCCTTGTGCACCAAATCTCCATCCTCACTGGTCAGGCCTCTTAAAGCCTCTCTCCTGCCAAGCACCAGCAATCAGGGGGCATCCCAGGCCGATCCTCCACCTCACACAATCTCTCTCCCACAGGGCACACTCCCAACACAAACTACAAGCTTCCAGAGCATATACAGAGTGCTTTCCAGTTTTCTAGCAATGCACACTGGAGCGAAGTTGATGATGAGGGAAGAAAAGGTACAGTTCAACAGATAATGTGTTCATGAGTAAGGACAATCTGAGAAACTGCAGAGAGGACAGGATATAATGGCACAGTAATTATGGGTGATTACGGAGAGTTGACATGGCAACAAGGAAGGCGCATGAATCAGAATAGGTCCTGCATGAGAGCTGGATTTTCCCAACACAGTGTCTCACCTGCCTGGCAAGGTGGACTTCCAAGAGCAGTCCCTTGAGTGGGCAGAAAGGTGCCAGACACATGTCCAGAGCTAGTCTCAATTCTTGGCGCTCCCCCTCCCCACTGTCTCTGGGAACATCTAATGGCTTCCCTCGGGTGTCAGTTTTTTCGTTGTTGGCTCCATGGGTATGATTTAATGACTGGCCGAATCCTGCATCTTCTAGTGATGGTATTTTTGTTTTGTGCTGTTCCTTTTTCTCACTTCTCCGAAGGTGGCATCCATGTGTCCCTGGAGAATAATGCAGCACCTGTCCTTGTTGTGTATTGCAGGAAAGCACCTGGGAGCTCACAGTGGTTGTACCTTCTTGCCACAGCATCCCTCATTTTTGGCCAATGCCCACAGAGCTAAGAAATCCATAGTTTCCTGCACATGTTTCCCTGAATCCAGTTGGCCATACCAAACCTAGAGAAGAGGCTGCAGTTGCTAACTCAAATAACAGGGTGCACTTTGCAAACAAGGTAGAGCAACTCCCCTTCGGTTTTCCTTCTTTTCTTTATCCCAAAGTTTCAGTAGCCACATTATTTACACATTTTTCCACTCTGTACTAAAGCACCCAATGGCCATTTACCAAAACGCTTAACACGCCCTCTCACACTCCAAGCACTATGCACCCCTTACATCAAGGAATTCCTGCCAAATGCATCGTCTCTCGCACATGGCGCACAAACACAACATCCAGCAAAACATTTCTATTGCCATTTAGCCCAGCCTCTCATTCCAAAGAGCTGCATGTTCAACAGGGGGAGAAAACAAACCACCTAAGGGAGACAAAGGGGTATCTCTTCCCTGGCTGACAAGGTGGATTTCTAACAGCAGTCCTTGTGTGTGAGGGAAAGTGCAAGATCTGCACCCAGAGCTACTCTGCTCACAGGGCCTGCCACACCCTCCCTCTCACTGCCTCTCGGCCACCTACTGGCTTACTGCAATCTTCCCCCTGATTTCTCAATCTCCCTCTGTTGAACTCCAGCCTTCCACTCCCCTGGCTAATTGCTTAACACAACCATTCAAACTTCCAGGACTTTACCAACAAATTTCCTCAACATAGAAAAGGAAACCCTTCCCTGTATATCTTTTCCCCCTTTGCCTTCCTCTTCTTTACTTCTCTCTCTGGGAATCACTTCAGGATTCCCACCCTCAGAATTCTCAACAGTTTATTTTTTCTTCTGGCCTTCCCCCACCCACTTTTTTCTGGCCATAATCTATCTGCTCACCTGCCTCTGCCACATCTGCAGCACCTTCTACCAAAAGTCCCAGGCCAGCTATAAGATTTACAACTTCCCTCTACTAGCACAAAATCACACCACATAGTAGTTTCCCTTTGCTCATCATTTACCTGCGCAGGTTCAAAACACTTTAGCTTTGACCAGGTTACTTCCCACTTCCTTTCCTTCTTCTCTTTCCTAGCATGCACTTTCTGAACCTCCCTCAACAAATCTTCCAACATTTCACATCCATCCCGTTTCTGTCTAATATCCTCCCCTACCTTCCCTGCAAACTGATATTCCAGCAATACCTGATGGGCTGGATTTCCTGAATCCAGTTGCCCATATTTCTGCATCTGTTCCTTCAGTCTCCTCAGCCACTCAGATGGAGTTTCATCTTTCTTTTGTTCCAAAGACAGAGTCTTGTGTACCTCTAGAGACTGAGGTACCATCTCTTTAATTCTCTTAACCATATACCGGTGATATACTCTAATAATTCCTAACTCGCCTTTCTGGAAGCCAGCACAGAGCATCCCTTGCTGGTGTGGGGTTGTCTTTAATCCAGATCACTAGTTGCCCATTGGATCAGTTGCAATTCTCCACCAGAAAACAAGATACAAAAAATAGTCTTATTTTAGTTATTTTCTTAGTTCCTTCTAAGAAATATCTGCTGGACCCTAGAACTGATCTACCTGTTTTCCTACCTCAACTGGATCTTTTTCCTGGATCATGTATATGATTACATTATATATAATATACTAAAATAAATTATATCATGATTATTGTTGTTGTTGTTGTTGTTGTTGTGCGTGATTAACATCCATAAAGTCCCAAACCTCCTTGGGGAATACAGAACATGAAAGAATGGTTCCCAAGTCACCTCCATCCTTCCTAGGGTATAAAATATCTAAGGATTACATGATTTTAAGGCCATCAGATATCCAGGCCATACAAATGCACAGTAGCTTTCCAGTTTTCCTTTTTCAGTCCCTTAACCTGTTGAAAAATATCCAAGAACCTTAACATCCTCCCCAGGAACTTTCATGAACTTTCAAGGAAAGTTCCTTTCCCTTGTGCCTTGCCTTTAGGGGCATCCCCCTTTCTAAACCCTCTATTCCCCATCCCTAACCCTCAAGTAAGAAATAAAAATCCCTTACCTTAATTCAGATGCACCGATCAGGGTTTCCTCCTTTCCTCTGAGTAAACACTCCAAAACCATCCATCCCACTGGTGTCCTTAGAAGTCTCGGGTCAGTGATCCCGAATTCAATTTGTCTCGGGTCAGTGATCGCCCTCGTATTTTGCAGAGAGCTGCCAGTGGGACTGCTAAACTTAGCAGGGTGTACCTTCCCACTGCCACCCACTGATCAAGCCGATGATGGATGTAGGAGGATCCTGGACAAGGCCCCAAGTTGTCAGTAACTTTCCTTTCCCCTGGAAGAACAAATGTACCAGGCAACAGAGAGTTCTTTTTGAAACTTTATTGCAATAAAGGGAATTAGAAAGGTTTTCTTCCCCTTGCCAACTCACAAAGCACATGTTCACATCCCATATTTATGCCCTTTCTCCAGCCGCTTCTTCCCTCCTCTTTTTCCCTCAATAGCTAGGTACTGGGAGATAAGTCTTTTCTGTCTATCTATTCCGTGCTGCTCCAAAACATGTTCTTTCTTCCCACTTGATCCCTTCCAGGTGAATTATTATGAGCTTATTTCCTATCCAGAGTGTGTTTGTTAATAGGCATGAGGTCATTGAGCAAGGAATCTGCTATCTTGTCTATGTGCCAATTCCACAGTGCTATCTGATCCCAGTGTCCCGCTCCTATGGCTAAGGAATTTTCTTTTTTACATTTTTACTCTTCTTGTATCCTTGTTTCAAATCATCCTCACATCCCTATGATTTGCTAATGAAGAAGGAGTCTGGCTGGACTTCTGCTCCAGAAAGAGCAACCTGCACCCTTAGAGTAGTGTCCCTTCCAATTCCCAAATGAAGCATGAGCTCTCAGGGCTGGAAAAGGACTTCTTCAATCGATATACATGTGGAGCAAGACATTCCCTACTCCAGATCTTTCTTGCTTGGTCTCAGCAGTCTTGGGGATCTTCCTGCAGATCAGGCAGGATGCCTTTGCCAGTGCACTTTTGCAGCAAAGCAGGTGTGTGAGCATGCCCCCAGGAGCCAGTCCTGTGCAGGCTGGAAAGGGAAGTAATCCACACTGCCAGAATGAGCTTCCTGAGGAATCCTCCCCCAACAAAAAGCCCCCCGCACCCTGGAGAATGACTTCTGGATGACAGGCAACTTGAAAATGTTTCTAGAAGCTAAGAAGTTGCATTCTTGCTACCCAGTCAAGTTCTGGTCAACAAGAATTTATCTACTGATACTTTAAAATGCCGCAGGAACATCTCAATGATTGAAAACAGGAACAATTAGTAGAAACAAAACAAAAATGATAAAAACCAAACTTAGCTAATGTGATTGACATGGGGAAATTTCTTGCATGCTGCTTCCCTATGTATGAAAATAAGTTTTTATTTTTTCCAGCTACTGAAAAGTGCAAAAGATCTTTTTCCCCTTTGCATCATTTCTATATGATCTGTACACCTAACATAGATGATGCCTGAATGGTTCACAAATGTTACAATCTTGAGCTGTTGACAAACAATAAAAAGACACTTTATGCTGTGCTTTTCATCATCAGGTGCTCCTTGGTATTCAGGTCAGGCCTCCATAGAATGACGTAGCACTTGGGGAGGAAGATGCAGCCCAGCAGCCCAGCACTGGAGGCCAAGATGGAGAAGACCTGCACGGCCACCATGTACTTGCCCTTCGTGCTCAGGTAGGCAGGCACGAAGGACACCCAGATGCTGCAGAAGACAAGCATGCTGAAGTTGATCAGCTTGGCCTCGTTGAAGGCGCCGGGCAGCTTTCTGGCCAGGAAAGCCACTGTGAAGCAGAGGGCAGCCAGGAAGCCCATGTATCCAAGGACAGCGTAGAACATGGCCACAGAGCCTTCGTTGCACTGCAGGAGGATCTGCCCAGACTGGGAGTGCTTGTCAGAGTCAGGGAAAGGGGGAGAGGTGCTCAGCCAGATGGTGGAGAGGACTACTTGAATACTGGAACAGCAGATGACAATGGAGTTGGCCAAACTCTTCCCCAACCAGTTCCTTGCCCTGTTGCCTGGCTTGGTGGCCAGGAAGGCCAGTAACACAGTGACCGTTTTGGCCAGAAGGGAGGAGATGGCCACTGAGAAGATGATGCTGAAGGCCACTTGCCGGAGGAGGCAGGTGATGCTTCTTGGCTGGCCAATGAAGAGGAAAGAGCAGGCAAAGCAAAGCAGGAGGGAGACAAGCAGAATGTAGGACAGGTCTCTGTTGTTGGCCTTGACTACTGGGGATTCTTGAAATTTACTGAAGATTCCCAAAATGGTTCCTGTGGCTATGGAGAGGAGTAGGGCCATGCCAGTGAGAAAGGTCCCCAAATATTCTTCATAGGAGAGGAAGGTGATGACCTTGGGGATGCATTGATCCCGGGCTGTGTTTGGATGCTTATCTTCAGGACACATCAGGCAATACTCTTCATCTGTCGAAAGCAAGAGGAAAAGCACCTGACATCCCTTCCAGTTTCTCTTCTTTACACGTTATTCTTTATTGTTCTTCTGATTTCTAGTATTTTTATTAATTGCAGTAAGATTAGTAGGGTCATAATTTTGGTGGGAGAGAAACAGAGAGTACTTTCCATTCGGGCATGGACTTGGTGGGCTCCTTCTTTCTCCAAACTCATCAAATATCCTCAGATCCCTGGACCATCCACAGTTCCACCACAAACCCACAAGGGGGGCAACGCAATCCAGCATTGATGCTTAGACTCCAGTGTGAAATGATTGAGGAACAGCCTGAGCAAAGCCTCCATTGCATATGAATGGGTTTTCGCTGTCCCTCTCTGACTTCTGAGTTGTCCAGCATGGTTTTCACAGTACGCAAAATTACTACCTCTTTTTCCTGCAGCTCCAGGACAAGGAGAATCTGCATGTGTGGTGGAAGTTGAAGTTGTTCAAAGCAGCGCACAACAAGCATTCTCAGGACAAGCCAGGCATGTAGCCTTCTAATGACAAGCTCACTGCAATCCTGCTTGAGTAGAGGGAGATGATACATGGTTGCACCACCTTACTGGGATTCCTCTAGTTTCAGTCCTAAAACCAGTTCTAACTCCAGTGGTTGAGCCACCCCTTGAGAGTCAGGGAAGAAGCTGGAAGGGCTGCTGCTCTCCCACCCAGGACTCATCCAACCTGATTCCTGACTCTCAAGATGCATGGAACCTGACACTGGCTGAGCACGCACCAACAGGTCACCAAAGCCACACCATGGTCTGTCCTTCCACTGTTTCCAAGGCTCCAGCTGTGTGTCCTGGGAATTCCATCTTCCCAGTCACAAGCCCATCTTCTGCCACAAGTTCTCCAACAAGTCACTTTTCCAGGACCAGAATGCCTGCCTACTCCTCTCTGCTCAGTTGAGACACCCATCCCTCCATGAGTTGAGCAGAGAGACAATCTGGACAATACTAAACAGTTGCATCAACCTCCTCCACAGCTATGCATAGAACCATCTCAGAGCATCCCTAAATGTGCTGCTTACTGAGGACAGATATCTGCCCTCCTCCCAGGTTATGACTTTTCCTCTGTATTTACCCACCTTCCTGACTGGAGATGGTTCCTTCTGCACATGGGGCACAGTCATAGCAGCACACGGGCTGTCCTTCCCGAGCCACCTTGAAGAATCCCGGGCTGCAGCTCTCCACACACCTGGCCTGGGGCAGGGGCTGAGCAAGAGAAAAGGAGCATCAAGGGAGGAGATTTGGGGCTGATGAAGCTGGGTACTGGGGAGACAGGGCTAGAAAGGAGAAAGAGGATTTCAGTGGATTTCATAACTGAACCCCCTTCTGTGAAACTGAAGCAGCTGGACATTCCCTCCAAGTGCAATGCGTCAATGCATTCACCATACCTTTTACATGGCATGCATTTTATATAATTATTAAATGTCTGCACCTCCCATAAGACAGAATGTTAATGAAGGGAAGGGAAATTTAAACAGTGGAACAATGCGGATGGTTTTCTTCACCTGATCTTGCCACTGCTGCCACACAATGGGATCTTGGTGAATGGAGAATTTGGGGCCCGACAAGCCCTGTCTTTCTAGACTCCCAGCTTTGACTTTTACAACAGTCCCATTGAGAAACATCACCCAATTGATCAGGTCCAAGTTGATTGCCAAGTCTCCGTTCTCATCTAAATACACTCCATCAAGAGAATGGTTGTGAAACTGGCGGTCTCTCAGGAAAGGGTGGAGCTGGAACAACACAGAAGGAACAAGCATTTGACAAGGCACTTCTCATAGCCTACTATTAACTGAAGAGCAGGTTCCAGATTAATGTGGCTCAGTTTGTCTCTTATGGACAAATTACCAATTTCTTTGCTGGATGCTCATTGTCTGCTTTTTGTATTTAGGAAACAGAGAATAGAACCCTCATCATTGAAGGGACAGGAGTGGCAGCTTCGTTGATCACAAGATTTCAGGAATCCTTAGAAGCAGAAAATGGACAGCTCAGCTCCAGAGCCTGGATCATTCAGAAAATGACCTGGGAGTTCATTATGGTGTACCCAATAGGATTTGTTTCTGAGGCATCTCAGGCAAAACCTAGAAGATTTGGAAGGGGTCAAGAAGGTTTTCCTTTCACTTGAGCACTTTGTTCCACGTCCTGCGATCTGGAAAGATCAAGCAGGGATCGTGACCTTACCCTTTGTGACAACCCATCAAGTACTTGCAGAGTGCTATCATACCTTCCCCCAGTTTTTTCTTCTTCTGGCTAAACTTGCCCAGTTCATTCAATCTCTCCTCATCTGGCTTTCTTTCCAGTCCACCCAACATTCTCGCCATCCTTCTCTGAATGCTTTCCAGTTTCTCCTACTGAGATCCTGTGAAATTTCTATCTTTGTTCTAACCTCTTAGCTAGCCCACTGGCTTCCGTGAGATCTGCAGATCTAATCACCATACCCTGCATTTCCTCATTCAATTCATGAATACAAACATTGAAGAACACTGGGCCATGGACTGCACTCTGCAGTGCTCCACTTCTTACCTCTTCTTGGTGTGGAAGGGGCCATTGATGAGCATGCTTTGAGTCCGATTCTGTAGCCAAGTGTGCATCCAGCTGAGAGTTTTTGTATCTCACCAGTGTGGAGCTAGTTCGCCAATCACGATATCATGGGGAACTTTGTGCAAAGCTTTCCTGATGACCGGACAGATGATAGCCAAAGCATTCCCACAGTCCACCAGGGAGGCTACCCAATTGAAAAGTGAAATCCAACTAAATAAAAGGATTTACTCCTGACAAATTCATATGGGTACCTTGGGATGACTACACTATTTGCAAGGTTTTCAGAGCACTGAATCCAGATGGACTCTTCTGTCATTCCGAGAGGCTTCCTGCTTTCCCTTCCTCAAGGTGGGAACAACATTAGGTCACCTGCACCCATCTGCCACTTCTCTTATCCTTCAGGATTACTAAAGAAGCATAAGAATGTTTTTGTGAAGCTCCTTCTGCCAAGTCCTTTCTAACAATTGGATGAAGTTCATCAGGCCCAGGAGACCGGCTTCTTCATTGTGTGTACAAGTTCATTTACCCTTCTGCTGTCAAACTTGTTTTCTCATCATGCTCCTTCTGCTTGTCCTTCCCTTTCTCAGGGGCTACCATATTCCTCTTTTTGCACAAGACAGAGTCAAAGAAAGAACTGAGGAATTTGGGCTTTTCTTGTCCTCTGTCATCATTTTGCCACCTGCAGGGACTCCCTGAACCACAACATCACTCCTCTGCTTTTACTCTGTAAGTATCTGGGGAACTCCTTTGGTTGCTTTTAACATTCCTTATTGACCTCCACCCATTCTCCACATTAGTCTTCCTGATGCCACCCCTTCCCTTCTCTGCCTCCTGCCTGCATTCTCCTGTTGTAGCCTGGCCTGCCTTCCGCTAGCTACAGATGGTATTTTGGGTGAAAACATGTGGAGCAGATCTTCCCTGTTATCTTCTATTTTTTTATTTAACAGACATGTATAGAATTATGCATTTAGAATTGCCATTTTTAAAAATACACCCCCCACACACTGAGGACTGACTGCTTTTCTCCTTAGCATGATTGTCCCTGGGGCTTGACTTAGCATCTTTCTGAGCATCTTCAAATGCATTTTCCTGACATTCAGGCAGTCAGTGTGGCTACACTTGGATTTGCCTTCTGTAGGAATTCAAGTAAGGCATGGCTGCTTTTCACTGAGTTCATGTAGTGGCCATTTTTCCACTGGGTCTGGCCTGCTGGTTTCATGCATCCTGCGTGCCTGAATGTCAAAGTGCTGAAAGTGGTCACTTGGTTGTACTGCTTTCAGTAGTGCAAAGCATCTTCCAGCTCTTTGCTCCTGACTGCTCCCTGCTTTTCCAGGGACTTCCATCCTCTTTTTCATTTTCCACAGGATTCTCTTCCTCAGCCTCAGTTCCCTGATGCTCTTCTGTCTCCGTCATTACATGTAGAGTTGTGGTTGCACTGCTCAACCTAAACAATTGTCATCTTCTCATTGCCTTGAGGGTGCCCACTCCCCTCTCCAGCATTCTCACAATTTCTTCCAAGATGGCTTCTGGCTTGCACTTGTTGCATCTGTCTGCCAGTCTGAGGTTAGGCAGAAAAGCAGGCTTGGTATCGAGGTTGCAGGCAGCTACCAGTGGGGAGGTTTCTAGGTACATATTCTCTGATTGTGGATTCTACTTTTCTCTCCATGTTGCAACATTCTGTGCTTTCTCCTTCCCACCCTGAAGATGACTAGCAGAGTCCCCTTTCCTCTGCCTTGGTTTCCCGTGCCACTACAGCTCCACTGCCAAGCTCCTCAGAACTCTCCATGTTGACTCGCTTGCCAGAAGCTTACTTGCTTGTCTAGAAAGACCTAGACCAGCTGCGACAGAATTCCCTGCTCTTCTCAGCTAGGAACCCAAATGTATCTTGTGATCAGGAATGCAGACGCAACCAAGTGTGGGTTGTGTTCAGCCAGACATATCAGGTCAAACATGGATTGACTTGTCTTCTGAACCCAGGCAAGGAAGCAAGTTCTACTATTTTTATGTCAAGGAACCTGAGCAAGGATGCATATAGTCCTCATTCTCCTTCTACTTTCCACTTAAGGCTGACTTGAAGCAACTCTATGGGGCACGATCAGTCAGGCTGAATCCTGGAAAGCCAGTAGGAGGGTGCAAAGCAGAGAGCCTTCCAGGTGCCCCTTCATTTGGAAAAGTTCGTCTCATTTTCACACATTCTGAATTCAATACCCAAGAAGGGGATGGAATACCTGCCATGGATGAAGCTGGAGCACATGTAGCCTGCCTCCAGTTTCCATATCCTTCTTCCTGGATCTGGAGGAAACAGCTGCATCCACGGCACGGGCCACAGCCTGGACTGTGTTGAAGGCAAAGTAGCTGTCCAGAGACAGTGTGCGCTCCTTGTCCACTTGGTGCAGGCCCTCCGGGTTCTCCTTCTCTCTGCATCCCACCCACTCTTTCACTGACAGCACATGCTTTGAATAGGAACACTTGAATGCTTGTGTCATGAATTTCTCCATAGATATATAGAAATCTTCAATACCATCATAGCTGATCCTTTTACTTGTTTGGGGAATGAAGGAAAAATATGCAGAGACATGATGAAAATTCCAATTTACATATGCTAAAGACATGGTAAAGTCGTACAAAGTTGTGGTGATCCAGATTTTTCCATTAACAGGTTTTTCATACGTTTCAATGCATCTTTCTACAATTCGTATTCCATAGAATGAGAAACGGAACTCTTCAAAAAAAACAAAAACATTGATTTCTGCCAAATCCTTTGGTGAATCCAGTGTGATTTTTATATTGCCTGATTTCAGTTCTGAGATGCTGCATGAAAAAATCAAGCAAATGCCATTCCTGAGGAGCTCCAGTTTCATGGTTCTCAGGAACTTGTCTCCATTCTCAGTGTCCAGTGCAAAGATGCCAACCATCCTCCACCTGAAGTGCAGCAGCAGCCTTACAATCCCTGGATACTGGATGCCTTCTTCAGGGACCATTCTGTAGAAGGAAGGGGACATACTTTTTTCTCTCTGCACCTGAGCAGTAAAAGCATAAGTGACCTGGGAAAGAAAGGAAGAGACTGATGGTTTGCTTCCTTTCAGCACCAGATCTAAGTTCTCTAACTCATGAGGATAAACCAGTTACCCTTGAACTATCTGCATGAAACATGACTTTCCAGGAAGCAATGCTTAGCATTTTCTGAAAGATAAAGTGTTTTAGCATCATGAGTTTAAAACAGTGACATCCAATAAATGGGAGAAGAATACGTTTTTGGGGTTGGTCAAACACATATGCTGAGCACACATTCCTGGGGTCTCAGAAGCTGCCTTGCCCTTCTGCATTTCATGCCTTCGAAAGAAAAGGAAACTATCTTGTATGTTTATGACATAATTGACTGTGCCATTCTATTTGCTGTACATTTGATACTATTGAAGAATAGAATTTTTTCCTGATATAAAATAAAATGTATAAACCTCTGTCTCGAAGGTCAACATGTGAAAATGATCAGCCTGGAGCCAGTTGTTTTGACTCGAGAGGTGTAGTTTGAGATGGCCATGTCCAGAAGTAACATGCATTAATTTCTCTCTACATCTGATCACTGTAAAAAGCTGAACTTGTAAAGGCCCTGTGTGTGATGGCTGTGGCTGCTGGTCTCTCCTTGAGATGGCCTCACTCTCTAATGTGGGTGTGCACCTACAAGAAAGTCTTTTTTATAAAAATTACTGGTCTGCATTGCCTGTCTCTCTCATGGTCAGACAATGAACAGAGACACCTTTTTGTTAAACCTCAACAAAAACCAAACCTGATGGGTGTCTTGGGTTGGGGCAGAGGGGGCTTGAACTCTTTTCATCTCCGTGTTGGGTTGGACGGTCTGTTGTCTTGGGAGGGGTATCATGCATGCAAATGATTTGGTGAGTCTTTGCTTTCTCTACATGGCCCCTCACATTGCTTTTCCCTGAGGCGTAGCTTAAGATAACTGTGTAGAAAAGTAACCTGCAGTACATTCTATATCAAATCATTGCAAGCAGCTGACCATTAAAAAGTCCTGTGCATGCTGGCCATCCACTGCTCTCAACTGGAGATGGGCTCACACTCTGATGTGAGAGTGTACCTAAAATAAAGAGACTTTTTACACAATAACTTGCTGGAGTTTCCTGTCTCTCTCACAGTTGGAAATTAAAGAAGAGGAACCCTCTGTTAATCCTTA